GGGGCGGACTGACCATTTGGAAACTTGGGCACTGCCCGAGGGCCCGGGTCAGTAGGGGGCCCCATGAGATGCCCCTGGTACCTTTTTCATAGGCTTTTTTGAGTTTGGACAAGGACACAGGGGTCCCATGAGTTGTCAGTCTGCCCCTGCCTGTGCTAAAAATCCTAATAGCTTGTACATGCATTTATCTATCAGGTGCTAAAGGGGTGTAACCACATGTTAATAGAAGAAATCTTGGAGGATTTCTTGTGAAAGACACCTACAATCATGAGTTTAGTTACAATCTTGTGAATACGTCATTAACTTAAAGGTTCACATATTTTTCCACCACTAAAATACAATTTTTGAGTATAAAAACACTTATTTTACCTAAAGTAAACAAAATTCGAATGCTTATGTGCTAGGCCCATATCACATTGCTGATTCTGTCACTGGTGACAGCTTGCCAGTGATAGAATCTCTAAGAAGAGTAAAAACAGAACTACTAACAACAAGTATGTTCTCATTATTTTGCTGGAGGGAACATCAAGGTATGCATCAATGGTGAGAGTGATTTCACAGTATTTAAAGAAGTAGGGTATGACATCCTGCTGTTTTGACCAGGTAGGAGGCAACATTGAATAAATAAGTAAGTACTTTTTTGTTCTCTATGTTGCAAATACAGTTATGAACCATGTATCATTTTTTTCCCTATAGACAGCATACCTGTAATCTTGTCTCATTAATTGGAACAATTACCCTATTTTCAAGACATCATTACCATAAAGGGTAGTTTTCCTGTCAAGAACATTGATTGTTAAACCATTTTTTTAACAATGATGTCACAATGCACAATGTTGTGTGTGGTGTTTTTTAAACAAGACTGTATTTACGTGTGTATTTAATTGTTTGAGTAAGTAGTTCAGACCATATCTACAGAGCCTTACATGCAAAAATTCTGGTAATTCCCATAGCTTCATAAACTTTTCTGCAACTGTAGAGCAATAATTTATTGAAATTAACAATGATGTATTTTTTAGATGAAAAAAACGTCCTTACAGAAATATCAGGTAGAATTCAGTCTTTCTAAAGAAATGTCTTTGTTGTCATATTCTGAGAGAGGGACATATAAATTATAAAAAATACATCACTGAACACAGGAAATTTCACAGTAATTCAACAAAAAATGATTGTGAAGAGCAGAAAAACCTTATTTTATTATGAATAAATAAATAGGAAATGCAATGACATGGGCAGCTCTATACAATATTGATACATGCACTATGCTCAGGTATTAATTTACTGTTTCTCTGCATATTGTATCAAAAATATAGTACTGTACTTAAGGCATACCCTGTCATTTCCTAAATCATCCATTACCTAGACTGTCACTAACAAAAAAAAGTTACAAAACAGACATCAATCTGTTAGAATATGTTTTTGCATTTCTGATAATCATATCAACAGGGATGAGCTTCGGGTTTGGGTCAACCATGAGTTTGACATTAATTGAAATCTTAATGCCGTCCAGAAAAACTGTTCACTGCCATAACAACCAGTTACTAATAATGTAACCAATAATTCCAAACCATTGCTTAGAATGACCAGTAATGGGGGTTTTCTTGTATGACATCCCAATAAAATTATGTGTTTCCATTTACTTTTGTCTGTGATTGTGGAGACTTTGAGTAGATAGGGACAGCTGACAATGTATTTTCAGGGTTAGATGTTTGCTACTATACAGTTGAGCCAACTGCGTTGGTAAAAGCAGACAGTTTTTTTTCAAAGACAGGTAAAACAAAGTGGCTTTTCCCAGCATAAACAAAACAATAAAAAAGTCCCTTGACTTCTGGTATAAATCAAATGTTTGGTTCACTGCCAGCAACACTTTGTCCCACAACAGGGTTTAAGGTTCCCGCCTGCTTTGGAGACCAGAAAAAGAGGGCTACAGGAGCCCAAGTTGCATCTCTGTAGCCAGACAGTCCGCAGTCCTTTTACCTGTTCCACTCAATAGCTATCTGCTGAATGCTTCCTGCCTTTTTCTCTTTCAGGTGGATTAACTCCCTCAGAACCACAGTACCCGTAGTTAGGGTTAGAGGCTCTTTCCCACCCAAAATCTCTCCAAGCCTCTGAATTCTGTTTCCCATACCAGGGCTTAACAATCCTGGAAAAACTGTGAATTTGGACTCCCTCTTTAACTGATCACCCCAGAACCCCTCAACCTGACTGGGTGAGGATCCCTGAATACTTCAGAAGGCTTCTTTCTTTCCCCTTAAATGAACAACAACCCATATAGTGGGGGCACAATCTCCAATCCAGGACCCATTCCTGGTGTCCTGTATGCTATATAGTTCTACATATGCAGGTATACAAATCTATGCATAATATATTGTGCTACATTACAGTGAATTGCAGTGTGGTGGGATACATACTGTTCCCATTTGTCTTCACTGTTCTTTGGTTTCATACATCACTGAGTATTGTATTGTATTGTGTTCCCCTTGTGTTCAGAGGGAGTAGTCATTCTATTCCAATGGGTGGCATTGACCTATTGGTGCAAGCTAGTGCTATCCCTAGGGTTTCTCCACCTATCTCAGCAGCTTTGGCCTTTTTTAAACACAACATCTACCTACAGAACCATAGCAGCCTGAAGCCTCTGCCTACAGCTTACCCCTTCTGACTTGCACCAGGTAAAAGAATTATATGTCAGGCAAGAGTGCACAGCCACTTCAGATGATCCTACCTAGTGAGGGTTCACCTGGCTAAAATGCAGTGGCAACACAATCTGTCTGCAAACTGCCTGATATAAAAAAAACACCCACACACTATAACTCAATCTCTGCGACTCCACAGTGACTGGACCTGCAGCTGCCTGCAATCAATGCGTACTTGTGCACATACAAAATAAAGACAGGCTCTGGTAATCTGTTTTTCCCATGGCAGTGGCTGATGATTATGAAAGTGTGTATCATTTTGTCACTATTTCAAGAAGTGACCAGCATTGTGAGCCACAATGATTCAGGGATTACTGACACAATTCTTCTGGCGTACCGGTTGGAGGACACACTGTGTTGTGTAATAGACTGGACACTGGAGACACAGCAGCAGGAAGAAGAGGATGACTTCTTTGCTGTTTCAGGGCCTGCGTGATCCTTTTCCTTCTGGTTATATCTCTGTGAGGAAGAAGAATAACAGACAGAAGAGGCGTATGAGGAAGAGAGTTAGAGTATTGGTCCCTCCCAAACCTCAAGAGTTGCACGTGGGTAGGGTGAGATTGTTGAGGATACTTGATCTCAGAAACACTAAAGACTTGGGGTTCTCTGCTGCAGGCAATTTGTGGTGAATGGACTTATTCATGCTGAAATGCCTGCACAAGAATCCCAGAAATCTGGGCAGGAGAGGAATCATTGCTGGTCGTATGCGTCCCAAATAGAAAGGTCTCTGTTTCATAGAAAGGCAGGATCTCCTTCCATGGCCAACATGCCTCCAATCTTTATTTAAGTCATTTAAGTCATTTTTCAGGACACAGTGGACAGTCCTAGCTGCTAAAAGCAGTCACAAGCGGCAGCCTAAACATATGATCTCTTATAACCTGGGATCTAGCATAAATGTGGACAACCTTCAAACCGAGAACCCCATAGATTTCTGAGTGTCTAGGCTTTACCACTGGTAAGAATAGCATAGTACATAAATGAGAAGTTCAGTTTTTTTTAACATGGACCAGTTCCGGATCAGGAATGATTGTAAAACTTTTGCAGCTGATGCTAACAACTACATTCTTGGAACCTGGCTAACAAAAACGATTCTACCTTTCACGCTGACTTGCCGCTGTTGCCAGCTCCTTCCATCACTGCTTGTCTGCCACCATTACTATCTGCTGCCACTTTTACCAATTCCTTCCAGCAGCCTGTCTTGATTTCTTGATTAAAACCTGTTCGGTTTCCACTACTTAAACTTCAGCTTGATGAAAGTGTTTATATACTGTTCATGGAGTCAGCTCAATATTTGATGGCATTTTTCAGGGTAATAAATACACTTTAATGCTATTTTTTTTTATCAAATGCTGGCAGTTTTCTTTCCTTTCAAAATGCAGCTTACTAAAATGCTTAAGTATTGTTTTACAAATTGGTTCAAGTTCAAAATGCCCCTTTCTAGAAATGCTTAAATACTAAGTATGGAGCCTGTAAAATACTTATCTGGCTTTTTAGGTGAAATAACTGTTGATTTTAGGAATGAAAACCTTCATGTTACTGTGTGTGTCATTTCAAAAAGCAGTCTACAACTCCTGCAGTGCTTTATGATCTGTACAACATTACTTCTTTTTTCTGTGAAATATATAAACTTAAGTGTGAAGTTTTGGGATGAAACACTACATACTGTATATCATTTTATAGAATGCAGCCTACTCCACCTGCTGCATGGCTGTCTGTACAATATGTATTCCTTCTTCTGTGAAATATATGCACCTAAATGTGGATTTGTGGGATGAAAATTTGCATGCTGTGTGTGGACCAGGTATGAGCTTCAGGTCAACAATGAGTTTCATCCAAACCCAAGTTTAACTGCTAGCCTACAGGGCACGTATACCCCCTTCCTGCCCAGGTCAATTTCCAGCTTTCAGCGCTGTTGCACTTTGAATGACAATTGTGTGGTCACACAACACTGTACCCATATGACATTTTTATCATTTTTTTTGTGACAGATAGAGCTTTATTTTGGTGGTATTTAATCACCTCTGGGTTTTTAATTTTTTTTTTTAAACAAACCAAAAACCACTGAAAATTTAGAAAAAAAAATGTTTTTTCTTAGTTTTTGTTATAAAATTTTGTAAATAAGTGATTTTTCTCCTTCACTGATGTGCGCTAATGAGGCTGCACTGATGGGCACTGATGAGGAGGCACTGATAGGTGGAACTGATGGGCATTGACAGGCATCACTGATGGGCACTGAAAGGCAGCACTGATACATGACACTGATATATGGCACTGATAGGCAGCACTGATAGGCGGCACTGACTGGCACTAATAGGCGGCACTGACTGGCACTGTTAGGCGGAACTGACTGGCACTGTTAGGTGGCACTGACTGACACTGATAGGCAGCACTGATGCGAACTGATAGACAGCACTGACTGGCACTGATAGCCGGCACTGACTGGCACTGATAGGTGGCACTGATTGGCAGCACTGATAGGTGGCACTGACTGGCACTGATGGGTGACACTGAAAGACAGCTCAGATAGGCACTGATATGTGGCATTGATTTGCACTGGTAGGCACTGATATGGCACTGATGGGCACTGGCACAAGGCACTGATGAGCACTCACATAAGGCACTGATGGACACTGACAGGTGGCACTGCTGGGGCTACACTGATCATCAGGGCACACTGATCATCAGTGCCCTGATGATCTGTGAACATGTCCCCTCCGCGGAAAGCCGATTACCGGCTCTCCTCTCCTTTCGAGCTGTCAGCATGACAGCTCGAGAGGAGAGAAATGCCGATAACCGGCATTTCGCTATTTACATGTGATTAGCTGTGATTGGACACAGCTGATCACATGACCGAGCCGACATCTTCGGCTCTTTCCGTGATCGGTGATCCGCTGTGTCCGAGAGACACAGCGTACCGCCGATCGCTGCGCTGCGCGCTCCCTGAGCCGCGCATGTACAGTGAGAATGGCAGGACGTCCTCCCAGAACAAGAGAACCACCTTGCACCCGTCATATTACTATATGGCGGGCGGGAGATGGTTAAAGTTTGTTAAACATATAATTATCACCACTAAATAACAGTGTCCAGCTTCCCACCAGCTTGTTTGGAATTGTAAACAATTCCCTTGTTAAGTGAATTCTGGATGAGGGTCTGTTATAGATTTTGAGGGGTATTCCAAAAAAAACCCCAAAATAATAAAATAAAAATAAATCAATGCTATACCCTTATTATGGAGAAAGGACTGATGTAGATTTTAAAGAGAACTTCGTGCAAAAAAAAAAAACAACAAAAAAGCATGGCATACCCAAAATCCATACCAGACCGTTCTCTATGCATGCAGCTTTTGCTGGCAAGGAAGGGGAAGGTGTCAAGGTCCTACCTTTTCCCTGAGGTTATGTTACTCCATGTGCTGGCGTCCATCTTGGATTCTGCTGTGCATGATGGGAATCCTTTTATGCCTTCAGGTCTCTGTGGTCCATCCCCCAGAGGGGTGTGGCTGATGACATATAAGCCTGCCTGTGGCCCGCACATGCTCTTTGCACTTGTGTCTTGTGTCTTTGTGTTGCTATTACTCTGTTCTGACTCTCGTGACTCTCCTGGTATCTGATTCGGCTTGTGACTTGACTATTCTTTGTATTCTCCCTTGATCTGACCCTCTGTTGCTGAACCCGGCTCGTGACCTGTGATTCTCGTCTGCTGTCCTGTACTGTTTTGTCCTGTTGGTGTTGACCCGGCTTGTCTGACTACTCTTTTGTCTCTTCCACCAGCTACACGCCATTGGCGGCGGCCATTACCGCAGCTGAGGTGTCTCGGGGGCCGCGACCTGGTTCCTGGCTGTGTCAAGTCCATCCCCACCATCAGGGGCCCTGGTGAAGGGCAGTCTGGGACTTAGACTCCGCGCCCTGAGGGACTTCGGTCTGTGGGTAGTGGTTGTCGTCAGCCAGTGCGTTACATTGTTAGGCCTGCCTGTCCGTTCCTCGGCCCCTGCCCTGACAGAGGGGCAGCAAACATGGGTCTCCACTTCCTGAACTATAACAGGTCATGTACCTCCAACATTAGGAGGGTACATCACTTGCCTCCCCTTCCCCGGCAAAAGACCTTGTTCCCATGTTGATGGGCCTTGTCCCTACATTCCTCACCCAGTTGATGTGGGAGTCTGCAGGGGAAAAAGGAAGAATCCTCTAAAATAAGGTGGTGCCCAGATTTTGCCCTCCCACTCACTCATGTGGATCAGAAAGGGTACATGATAGCCCTTGTTACTCATTAAAAAAAAACAAAAATCATAGTTCCCCATTGTAAATCCAATATCAATCATGGCATCCAGAAATCACGATGAGCAATGCCCTGATGACTAAGGGATGTGACATCCCATGCCAAAATGATCATTTCCCACCCATACTCCTGTCACAAATAACAGCCCTCTGGCCATGTCAACAAACCAACTAAGGATGCTGGCTAATGTCATTGACCATATGGTCAATGACATCCCCCAGGATCCCTTGGCTGCTTTTTACAAATAGAAGAAGGCAAGTTAAGAACTGTCATTTAGTGTTTGTTTGTTTTTTTTTGTGAAACTGTGGCAGTACATCCCACAGGTGCTCCACTTCACATGCAGGCTCAGGATATCCCCATACGCATGTTCTTTATAGGATTCGTGTATGTTTAATGTTGCCCTTAAAGCTGTATTAAATGACTCCACCCTATAACAACCTTGCACTAAGCAAAAGAAGCCCATTTTAATAGCCTAAAATATAAAAATACATAAGCGTACAATACATTACCATTACCAAATCATCATTTGTATACCTAATAGGTGCAAAAAAAATAAAATTGACTGTAATAACGTAAAATAAATATAAACCCTAACTGATTAACATTTAGTTTGCTAAAATACTGTGTACAGTGAGATGCATTACATTACTGAATATTTAAAACTAAACATTTTTGATTTAACTTTTCAGTATAGTGTATGGACACTCCAGTTTGCTTCAACAGTTTTCATAAGTCTTCCATGAGAGCTCATTTGACTACTGGATTTTTGAATACTACCTAACACACAATATCTCAGTTGTCTCTGGAACATAAATTATGTGATGTTGGAGATGCAGTAGAGAAACAGGCACATTGAGCCATGTTTTATGGTTCTACAAAGACATGCAAAGTTTATAGAGAACACTCCACTTATTAATAAGGCAAATCACTGGACACAATTTCCCCAATTTTTCAGGTATGTACCTACTACACTTGGAAACAGATTCTACTCTCCACCCATCAAAAACTCTAGATGCTTTATCAGTGCTGTTTGCACTATAATACCTAAACCCTGGGATCACCTACAATGCCCCTCTGAAAGAATGGATAGACTATGTAGATTACATCCATGAAATGGGATCAATTATGCATTATAAACTAGACAGACAACAATTTATTTGTACATGGCATGCCTGGACAGTATTTGAACTGTCTAAGAAGTATAAGAGTCAAGATGAATAGTTGAATAAGTAACAGTTTAATAACAGAATACAATCAGATAGGTAAAATAGAAATCTTCCAAAACTCTGATATATTTCAAGCCTCCATTTTACAAGCCCTGCCCAACTCCCCCTCCTTTTTCCTTTCCCCTTGCCTTGATCACATGACCCCCATTTTTTTCTCACCCTCTTTCTCCGCCCATTTTTATCCCTCTCACCCTATTTTTCTATCCCTCAAACATACCCTGTTGTGTCAGTGGGTACCCCTCTTGGATCATTTAATGGGCTACATAAATAAATAACTAAGCAAATGTAAAACCAGTGTAATGTAACTATGACCATGCATGTGAATCTGGGGATATGTGTGAAGGAGGGTTAGAGGCCTGAGCTGGAGCAGGTCATGTTTAGATTTTAGGGTAGAAATACAAGATACAGGTTTAAAGTTATTGTAGGTAGGTACATGAAATCAAGTTCAATGTTAATCTCTCTTGATTCGGTAATGGGAACACCAGAGAACTACATCACAAATATCATACAAAAAATGTTCTGATGCACTTATAATAATTCTGTTTAATAGGATTATATAGTGTGTGTATATGCAAAGACCACTATATATTTATCTGTTAACTTTGTATAATCGCTATTTATTTTTTTTTAAAATAACGTATACTTAATAGGTTATGTGGAGAAACAACAAAAAATATAGAGGAATAGGATAAAGGCTGCTGGAGAGGGGGGAGGACAGGTTTTGGGCTGAGTAAGGGGCAACCGAGGAGGGCCTTTTTCCTCTAGGGCTGTTTGCATACAGTAATAGCTTTCATAAGACTAAGAAATTTTGATTGAAGTCTGCTGGTAGGCATTTAAATATCCACAGTGGCTATATATAGACAATAATTTGAGCATGTTATCTGTAGTCTTGTCTTCCATCTTTTCAAGTATCATTATTTGTGAAACATGCCATTTTTTCATAAAATACTTGTTTTAATTTTTTTTCATTCTTTCTGGCAATGTGGAATTTTTGGTTTTATCAGTGTGGATCCATTGCACTCTTTTTGCAACTGCTTCTTGTATACTTCATGCACTGTAGTATCTTCTGCACATCATTTTCTCATGTATTTTTATCAGATAGTGCCAATACACTTGGAAGGTTCAAGGTGCAAGGTTGACAGGACCACTTGTAGTCTACATTACAGAAGGGTATGACAGGTTGACAATATATGATATTGGAGACAGAGACAGAATGCTGTCACCTTTTACCTGAAAGTGATTGCACTTCATGGACCTTCATGCCAAAATCAGCAGGTACTAATCTACTAAAAGCCACAAATTAAAAAATATGATAATTATTTTTGAAATTATATGAACATGTTAAAGATTATATGAGATTTTAGTGAATGTATGTTAATATATTTTAAGGCGAACCTGTTGCTTCCGCAGTAAAGAAAATCCAAATTAACCCTGCAAAAAGGGTCACTTGCATATTGGATATAAGCTGGTAACTGGATGTGTCAAATAGCAGCAGTGTCTAGAGCTCTGCAAGAGAGCAAAGTCTCAAAATGCTGCCGTCTCGAAAGGTGATTAATCATGGTAGAGTCATAATGTGCTAGTATGCACTGCATACTAGCACATTATGACAGACTTACCTGTGAAACAGTTCCCTCCAGCAGCACCCTGTCACCACTTACAGGGAATCCAGTTCACCTGGCCTTCCTTCTGGGTTTGGTGGCTCTGGCTGCTTGAATGGTGCAGGAGTCATGGCCATGGAAGAGCTCTCTCAATGGATGGCATGCCATCCATTGAAAGCGCAGTGAGAATGAGCAGGGATGTTACCAGCTGCTTCACATGTAAATATCTCCTAAACAGTGCATGTTTAGGAGATATTTATGGTACCTACAAGTAATTCTTATAACAGGCTTACCTGTAGGTACAAATCAAAATAGGGAGTTTACTCCCACTTTAAGATTCAATTTATTGAGGAAGTGACACATGTTCAATTCATCACAAAGTATTAATATGCAGAATATGATGTAATGGTAGCAAATGTCAGTTTTCTCCTTTAAAATAACAATAACATCCTTGTAAATGAAATATATACTTGTAGAATTGTTGTTACAACAGCCCCATTATACACGCACAGCATTGTACAGCTAAACTACATATTGTGGTTCTTTTAATTAAATATGTTTAATTCTCTACAAGCAAGGCTGTCTAACAATGCACTGAAAAATGAGGAACATTGCCAGAAGAGACAGTAGGAAAAAATGAGTAGGTTGGGCTATTCTGAACAAAGGAAGAACACTGTCAGCTTTTTCTGGTTTAAATTATAGCCAAGGCATTATTTAAAATATTGCTAAACATTGTTTTAATCTCAATGCAATAACTAGCAGGGATGTGCTTTTTTGTTCTGCTCTGGGATATCACTGCAAATTCTGTTTCAGCCCTTGCTGTAATGTTAATTACAACAATGACTACCCATTAAACAATGTCAGTATATTCTCTATGCTACATGAATATATTCCTTTTATTTGCTGCTAAGGCATGATTCACTTGGTTTCTATAGGATGGTTAAGGGTGTATTCTCTTCTTTCTTTTCAACATGACAAATAATAAAAAACACCTTTTACTTACTTATACTTGATACACAATGAAATCGTAAATGTTTTAAATGTATACGGTACATTTGTTGCTTGGCAATAATGTGCAAAACAGAAAATGTATTAAAAATGTTCATTAACATGTGGATGTGGAAAACAACAGCAAAGGAAGCAAACACATGAAAATAGTTTTAACACATATTAGACAAGCTCTCATTATATTTAGAAAGAACAATTGTATGTGCACAGTCCTTTGAAAAGGCATGCAAATTTAATTCCTACCTTTTTTTTTCTTTTTTACATTAAAGAGTAGAATAAGCATATTATAAATAATTCTTACCACTTTTCATTGTTCCAGAAAATTGTCCAATAGGTTAGGATTAAGAGTGACTGAACCAGGCAATGTTTGGTTTGCAGGAGGTTCAGCAAATCCAGAAGGAAGTCTGCAAACCCAGAATATGATGCCAAACCCTCTTCAATCTTTCTATTTTTTTCTGCCTAATGTGCAAGCTTTTATTTAAAAAAAAAAGGTTGTGGGCACTGCCAGGAAGGCATGTACCAATGTAAAAAAATGTTTAAATGTGTGCTATTTATTTACAAAAATGGTGTGGGGTGCTATTTAAAACTTTTATCAGGTCCTTATCCAGGAATAGAACCTGGATGACCAAGAAAAGGAGGGAAGCAAGTGTAGGTACATAGATATATGCATCTGTAGTCGCCGAAAAAGGTTGTCCTTCCTTCAATTCAGGAGATACAACCCCTTGTAAGCATTTATGTAAATTAAAACAGCAGTGATGCATGAGAAATGG